GCTGGTATCTATATTCCTTGGTATTCTTCCTTATTGGTTGTGTAATAATATACAATATGTGTATAATATCACATCTCAAAATGTACACAAGAGCAGAGAGTAGACAACATTTTACTCATAGCTTCTACCAAATCTGAATAAAGATAAAAGTTTTGTACTATCAGTTTAGTTTCCTCTCCCCAATGATTTTTCTCTGCTTTTCTTCTTTTCTCTAAATCTTAAGTAAGACCTTTCAAATTTTTCTAGCCATATATTTGTTTGATTGACTTTCTCTTAACCTTAAAACCCCTAAAATTACTTTTTGCTACACTGAGAAATCTTTATAAACTATTAGTTCTTTTAAAGATTTGTCTTTTCTTTTTTTCTTTTTTTTTAAATCCCAAGTACTCTTAAGTAAATTCTCATTGCTTCACAGACAGAAGTCAGGAAAGTTCATTATCTGCACTGGTGACGATATGCTGAGCAACCAGAAGAAAACAACTTAAAATTGTAGCATTCACTTTTATATTAAACTTTCAATCATCCTTTTATATTACTACAGTCTCTATTCTTTAATGCACCTGGCATTTTGCATCATCTCTTGCTATTCTATCCAATATACACTACAATCAATATTACTAGACTCAATACTTGGTAGGTAGTTCACTGTAGGAATGCTATACCTGAAATTTGATATATTGTCCAGTATCCAGTGTTCTTACAATGAACGTGCTTAGGCTTCAAAGTAATTTTTGTTTCACTTTGAACTTATAAAAAAGTCAGCCAGCTAGCAGGGTAAAGTGGAAGAACTCAGAGCATTAAATATAGGCCATCCTAGCTTTATTGTAGGTGCTCTGGTGGCATAGTGCCTAAGGCATTTGACTGCTAATCAGAAGGCTGGCAGTTCAAACCCACCAGCCACTCTTCGGAAGGCGGATTGGGCAATCTACTTCCGTATGATACTGCCTCGGAAACTCAAGGAGAGGTTGCTATGGGTCGGACCCAACTCAATGGCACTGTATGTGTAGCTTTATTGTAACAGAATTTATCAAGGAGGAAACTATTCTCTGAAAGGAGATCAACTGTAGTTAACTGTATTTTAGTTTCGATTTATGTCAAGTACTATACAACTTCATATTGAATTTTAGAGCATTTTTCTTTAAAAGACATATATCCTTAATGTGCCATTGAGTCAACTCTACTTAAAAATCATTTTTGTAGGCAATTATATGTTCAACATTTAGTTTTGTGTGAGTTATGTACATTGATGTGTTGTATTCACAACAATCAAAGCAAATTGAGGAGAGATAAAAATGATTAAGTCCTCAAACATTTGCCATTCATGTTTTTCACTAATAATAAAACGGTAATATGTGTGTGAGAGAGAAATAGAGAGACAGAGAGATCAGAAAAGTAGTATTTTCATTCACCCACTGACATACTACATTGGACACTCAAAGGATATTTTTAATTAAGGGGAAGAAATTCTATTTGAGAATCAATGTGCCAGCAAACTGTTTATCTACAATCTCTTGATTTTCATGTATCATTGTAGAAGGAAAAAAAAAAAAACTTAAGTCATAAAGTGCACCTGACTGATACATAAAATATTAAATGTAAAGAGCAGCAACTCTTTAATAATCATCTCTTGAAATATAAATTTCTTTTTATAAATATTAGTGGAAAAATAAGCACCTATGTTAATCATAATTTCAGTAAAAGAAATGATACCAATATCATTCATCCAGAGTTGTAAGGTCAGATAATAAAATAACTTTAACCTATTACAGGACTGTTCTTGATTAAAAGCAGAGCTATAACCCTGGTGATCTCCCACATTTCAACTTGCATTTTATCAATGATATTTATATTAAATACTTTATTATTTGAGATCACACTTACTCAAATTAAGGGAAAATTCTTCAATGCTCCCTTTGTTTTGCAAAGGAAGCAACATGATATTTTAGACAAAATAGAATTAATTTCCACAGGAAAAATGACAACAATGATCTCTGCAGATAAATATGAACTTTTATTCAATAAAGTTATATTTGAGATGGATCTGGGCATCAGTAAATGCTTAACTCATGTTATATATTTATGGCACCTGTTTAGCCAGCCACATCACATTATAGGGATGTCTAATTCTCCAGTAAGTGTTTTGATCTTCACTTATAGATTAATAGATAATGTAATACTTGCTGAGTTATTGAAGCATCCCTTAGAGCATCAAAAAAATAATAATAAATCTTAGGTGATCTGGCATTGCCCACTAAGAATTCTGTATAAGAAATGAAGTAAAATTCTAGTATGTTTGTGTTTAGTTATGTTGACTCTAGCTATCCTAGTCTTTGTCTTTAAATATAGGCCATCCTAGCTTTATTGTAGGAGCTCTGGTGGCATAGTGCCTAAGGCACTTGACTGCTAATCAGAAGGCTGGTGGTTCAAACCCACCAGCCACTCTTCAGAAGGTGGATTGGGCAATCTACTTCCGTAGTGATACTGCCTCGGAAACCCAAGGAGAGGTTGCTATGAGTTGGGTCCAACTCGATGGCAGTGTATGTGTAGCTTTATTGTGACAGAATTTATCAAGGAGGAAGCTATTCTCTGAAGAGATCAGTTTAAACATGGAAGTTTAAATAGATGATTAATGCTTACACATTACTAGAGGTCTCTTTTCAAGCCTGTCCTATTTACATATTGGTTATATTTATCTTTAGTAAAATGACAACAAATATATAGTTGATTTGTTCAGTAAAATATTAACTCATTTTCAATTAGCTTTTATAACTAAAGATCTCAAATTAAAATATGATCTTTTATTTAGTCTGAACATTTTCTTACAAAACCTGTTATTTCTCCTGACTTTACCTTATCTATTCCTGGCAGTAATTTCAGTTTTTAGAAAGTTTTGGGCTTTTCTATCTTCCAGTCTTTTTCCCTTCTAATATTTCTTTTTATAGCCTATAGTTAATTCTCAAAAACATTTAAAGAATTACTTCCTCCATAAACTTCTCCCTGATTCTCTTACCCAAAAGTTATCTCAAAAGTATTTTGTACTTCCTTTTGCTCTTTCTTTTGTCATTTAGCCTGTTCAACATATTATGTCTATTCTATATTCCCTTTTTTCCCTCATCATATAAACTCACTATAATGCTTTACACACATACTCACTGCCATGGAGTCATTTCCAACTCATAGTGACCTCTCTTTGGGTTTCTGAGGAGTTATCTCTATGGAAGTAGATTGCCCAATCATCCTTCTGAGGAGTGGCTGATGGGTTTGAACTGCCAGCCTTCTGGTTAGCAGTCAAATGCCTTAGACACTATGCCACCAGAGCATATAGGTTACTTAAAAATTACAGAGAAATTGGATGAATGGTTGGAAGATGATGGAGTATCCCAACAAAACAAATTTTCCTCAAGTGAACTCATGTGTACCTCCAAATTAAGTACATGTGAAGTATCTATGAAATGTGCTGTCCAACATCGTATTTATTAACTACATGTGTCTATTTGAATTTAAATTAATTAAAATGAAGTAAAATTAAGAATTTTTCCTCAGTTACAGTAGACATATTTCACGTAGTTAAAAGCTACACATGGACCAAATGGAACCATTCAGGAGGTTCTTTACAGAAGACCGCTCCATTTGATGCTGACAAAGTTGAGAGAGACACTCTAATCTGGAATGCTAGGAAAGTCATAATTATGAAGTAATAATGCATGTTGTTGTTGTTGTTAGGTGCCATCGAGTCGGACCCGACTCATAGCGACCCCTCCTTGGTTTTCCGAGGCAGTATCACTACAGAAGTAGATTGCCCCATCTTCCTTCCAAGGAGTGGCTGGTGGGTTTGAACCACCAGCCTTCTGGTTAGCAGTCAAGT